CATCCGGATTTTGATCATATGATCGTGGGGATGCTACAAAAGTCATAAGTGTGAAAAATGGTCGTCACTTTTTTCAGTGCCGTTGTAACTTTGAACAGTCACTAAATGAACTGTTGTAAGTCGAGGACTACCTGTAGTGAATACTTATTAGTGTGCTCTAACCAACAATTTATGACTGAAGTTTTGACTTTCCAAAGGAATCCCTTCAGTTGGAATTCACTATCAGTTACAGGTTGTCTATGGCGATGACTGTACCGACATAGGAAATGTGTGTTTCTGGGCCCTAAAATTTACAGATGTGAACTGGGAAGAGCTGATTTTTGTGGTCAATAAAGATACATTCTGTAATAGCAACAGATGGTTTTTGGTTTCTTTTATTAAAATATCCCTGTTTAAAGCAAAATTACAGAGGCAGAGGCACTACTTTTCTTTCAACCTCCATATAATTCAGGTTTTATATCTCTGATGTAACATCTATTATGAAACTTTGAAAATGCGATTTTTATTATTGTGCCATCTGTGCCTGTTAGAATAATAGTCAGGTCCTTGATATAACTTCTATATGAAAGCAACTGTGCTTCTTTGAAGGAAAGTGTTGGAAATGTTCTCCTACCATGAAATACAGTATACCTATATCTCATTTTCTGTTACCTTGTATTCTTATCAGTTTTTGAGGTCTGCTAATGTATATGCATGTAAAATTGTTTTTGATCAATGTTATATATAAAGTTGATACAAGACTGTCACCTTTTCTTATCAGCTATCCTGAGTGCAATAAATCAGTGACTCACTGTAATTTACAGTATCTGTATTTATTTTTAGATGATGATGATGATGATGATGATGATGATGATGATGATGATGATGATGATGATGATGATGATGATGATGATGATGATGATATCCATTTCATCGTGTCTGACTCTTGGCAATTTTATGGGCCAGGTTTCTCCACATCTTCCGGTCTTGCACTACTTTTCTGCAAAAGTTGATAGAGTTAGCAGAGATGGCTAAATTGACTGCCTTGATTAAAGAAAAGAATACAATTAATTTTGTTTCTTTTTGGAAACTGCTTTTGAACTTTGTGCTTGAGGTAGAAAAAATGAAATTTTGATTTTGGGTTTTGCTGATTAGATACGTTTGTTGTTATAGAAATGGCTAGTATATA